CAGCTCCCAAATCCATTCCATTCCAATCTGGGATCCCCTTCCAGACATAACGCCGGCTCCTCTGCGCGGGAGCCCGGGTTCCCGCCGGGGGTTGACAGGGCTTCCCGTCGCCGAGCCGTGCGGTGAGGGCGCGTGGCGGAGCTCACACTGGCCCGTGCCGCTCCTCTGAGTCTGCCCCGTGTCCCCTCCTTCCTGTCCGCAATCACCCAACTTGCCTCCTCTCCCTCTGGGCGCCCTCGGGACGTGGGCCCTCGCCTTCGGGTTGGCAGAGGGTCAGCCAGCAGAGCCCACAGTACGTAGGGTGGGATGGGGCCCTCTCTTGCGGGCCGCCGTGTGAGGACCCGCCCCCTTGGACGGGCGCGCCTTGGCCCTCCCAGCCAGCGAGACGCGGGCGCCGAACGTCCCACTCGCACGAGCGCGGGAGAAGCCGCGGGAAGGCTGGAGGGGCGCGGCGGGATCCGTGGGCGGACCCCGCGAGACTGCGGAGCTGCAGACGCCAACCGGCGCCGGCTCGCGGAAGCCCGGCGTCCGCAGGCGGCCGGATTTGGGAACTACATTTTCACGGTCCCACGAGTTCTCTGTTACCCCCGGTGGGTGTGGGGGTTGAGTTTGTTTGTCTTAGGTGGGGGCAAGAAGAGGCGGAAGAACCCCTGGGACACAAACTGCCATTTCCCTCGCCCCCACCCCTCCCTTTCCGAGAAGTCCGTTAAACTGAAGATGCCCGCAGCTTTAGTCCCCTGGTGATGCTGGAGTGGGAAATCGAGGGTGCAGGAGTTCCGTCTCTGGAATCACATTATTCGTTTTTCTAGTCCTTCACCCTCGCTACTCTCTCTTCCAGCATTCTCTTCCGTAGGCCCCCTCCATCTCCTTCCTTTATGATCCCACCAAAGTTGTAGCTGGGAGAGAGTCCAGGCCACACAAAGGGGGAGACCGGGAGCCTGGGCGGGGGGTTAGGACCGAGGAGGCGGAAAGGGCTCTGGAGGACACCGCGCTTTTCCCTCCTCCCTGTAATTAAGGACTCACTTGAGTGTCTGTAGCTGACTTGCCTTGGCAGCAAAATCGCCAGGGGGAGGGGTCTCTGGTGTGTGGGGTGGGGAGGCGGGTTGTGGAGGGGGTCAACCTCCTAGTTCCCCTGCCGGCACCCCCCGCGTTTACCCTTCGGGCTGCGAGGCCTGTGTCTGCCGCCCCCTGTCCTCTGTTCCGGCGCGGGGTGGGCGCCTCGCCCCCCACGCGCAGCGAGGTTGACGGCGCCCGGTGCAGAAGGAAGTGTTGATATAAAACAAGTCACTGTTCGCTCCCAAACTAAACCCCAACCAACCAAAGCCACCAAGAGGGGAAAAACCAACAGCAATCCAGCCAGCCCCTGGCAATTGTTTCACGGTCGGAATTAAATCACATCAAAACGCCCCCTGATACCCACATCCTGAAGGAGTGAACCTGCAACAGCCATCCTCCAGTCGTTCGCTCGAGTTCACACGAACAACCTGCCTTTACATCCGAGGGAAGGGGGCGGAGGGCGGCGGTGTTTCTCCCGCGCGGCACCCACCACATCCCGGACTTTGCGCCCCAAGAGGCGGCTGCATATGTTAATAGAAGCCCCCACACGAATTAGAAGAGACTTACCCGCAACAGAAATACCTTTGCCTGGAACTTCGCCGAACCTGTAGGAAAGGAGGAACGTCTTCCCAGGGTTACTTCGCCCCTCCCGCGTCTCCCAGCCTTTCCTCCCTGGAGAGACAGACTTCACGTGGAAATGTCAACCTCCTTCCCAGACCAAGCTTTAAAAAAAATGTTTTCTAGGAAAGCACCTTTTAAGCGCACCTCATCAGACGATTTGCAGCAATGCTGAGGACAATCAGCCAACAGCCCGCATGCCACGAGGAGGGAAAACAGCCATGCACATAGTATAAGGCTCTGGGTGATTTCATTAGAAACAGTGTTTCCAAAGGAGATTTGCCGCAAAACACAGAACGCAGCCACCTACTCTCGGCCCTTCTAGTAAACGGTCCCCACTAGTTATTGTTCCAAAAATTCCCATCTTCTCGAACTCCTAATCTCCAGGACACCTGGAGCTGAGCTCCAAATGACTCAGGGAGTCCAGATAATTAACATGAAGGAGTAAATGGGATTCGAATTAGTTTCAACACAAACAGGGGGGTATAGGAGTTGTCTTTTAAGCTCTCTTTGACTTCTAGAAAATACCCTCTGGCCATTCTGTATGCCGCCCCCCCCCCCGTTTGATGAAAAGGAACTTCTACTCTGGTTGCTTTGGTGAAACAGAGTTTTCCAGTTCTTTTCTTATCGGTCAGATTGGCGCATTTGTGGGAGAACTTTTGACTTTGTTTTCCATATATCTTTTAGAACAGAGGGTATAATGTCTGACACAGCTACATGTTCACATCTCTGGGACATTACACGGAAGAAGTTGCGTATCGCTACCAACCAAAAAATAAAATTGAGGTTCCCCCCCACCTTTTTAATATTGCCTTACATATTTTAGCAGATTATTCTTTTTGTTTTTCTTCTCTAAGGCATAGCATTATCGGCTATTTAAAGTGGAATTAATGTTTCACTCTTCCTGGATCCCGTCACCAGCCCTTTAATTTTACCTGTCCCCCCAGATAGAATTTACTGTGTGACCACTGGCCACACTCTATGTGACCAACTTAACCCTTTAAATGATGTAGTTTTTAAAATTGCCTCCTAGTGAATTCCTACCCCTAGCAAGTAATTATCAGTAGGCGAAGTTTTGAGTGCTCATTTGGAGCATTGTTAAGATCTTTACTTATACAATATCTAGCAGCTTGCAATTTCCTCCTTAGGGAAAGAAGAGGGATCTTTGCATGACGATTCCTATATAATGGAGCTAAAGTCTGATTCTGTAATGTTTTTCTTATTTTCAATTTAAGAGAGATGGAGACACATTTCTTCCTGCCCCTTGTTTACTGTTCTGAGGTTTTACAGATGGCTACTGTATTGCGTATAATAATTTTGCCTGGATTTTTAACTGAGGAGGTTTGAGAGCCAAGGAACAAAATGTAATGTGTTTCAAACTTCAGCTTTGCTCATACTGTAACTTTCACAAAGCATCTCCTTAAAAGTCCTGTCCTTGTACAAAAAGCATCAAAGAGACGGTGGAGGCTGGGGAATTTTTGAGGTTGGATTCGGATTTGCATCTTCAAGGGTCCCTTTGAGCGTTCAGTCTGAGGTGCCAGAGACTGCCCTGTCCTCACCCCCACTGGCTTCGCTCTCCTGAGTCCTTTTGCCTTCTCTTTCCCCTCCTTGGCGTATATCTCCGAAAATTCATGAGAGTCCTAGCATTACTCCCTGTGCGTCCCATGGTGAGGAGGTAAGGAAAGAGATCTTGCTTAAAAAGCAGTAATTAAGACCCAGTCTTGAGTTTTTTCTTCGTCGTCCTATTTTTTTCGGTAAGCCTGGAGATTTTGTTTTTGCTAGCATGTATTCCCTTGTCCTTTTACAACATATTTAGAAAAGCCACAACTCTCTTGTTCTTCTCGCTTCCGTTCTCTCTTATTAGTTGAGCAATGTGTTGTTCCCCCTTTTCCTTCTATCCTTGATTCCCGCCTCATCCCGTCAGAGCATCTATCAATGTGGTGTCGATCACAGCTGCGGCGGCTTCTCTTTCATCTTCTTCCCACTGCCAGAGTAGGGGAGGGTGAGAGGGCGGCGGAAAGGAGGTGGGGGAGAGACTGGCGGAGGAAGGGGGGTGGGTGGGAAGGGACAAGAGAAAGATACTTAGATGGTGAAGTTAAACCATTCGGTCAGAGTTTCTTGTCAATTTCACGTGGGCAGTGCGTGAAAGCTCAAGAAGCGTCGGGTCCTTCCTTCCTCGCCAAGTTGCCTAAATTTTTCCTCAAGCGCGCGCGCGCGAACACACACACACACACACACACACACACACACACACACA